ATAAAGCTAGATGAAACCTTGACTGCAGAGCAGTGAAACAGCTGGTGAATGCAAGAGATTCATGCACTGCATGATCATGTCAACAACCCATCTGTCATGGACATCTTTGAAGTTCAATGAAGGGCAGGTATGGTGTCTGCCTTTTTGGATAAATGCAAAATACTGACATATCATGAGAAGCACCAACAGTGCATGCCATTGAACTAGCATTATTGGAGGAACCAAGACCCAGCAGAAGCCTACATGTAGCAGCTATTTGGCTAGCATGCAGTTTATGCTTAGAAGAGGCCATAACCTCACTTCACATGGACAGAAAGGACATCAGGGAATGAGCATTGGAATTGAAAAAATTAGCTATGGCACACCATGCTGATCACACTTGCATCTGAACAATTGGGTTTTATCATGGATGCTGCAATTTACTTGAAGCTGCACCTTGAAGCAGGCTCCAACACTTCCACCAGCAAATCCATACAGCAGACTGTGTGTCTTGATGCAAATTCAGAGCAGGATTATACTTTGGATGATGGTTGGCTGGACAATGTGGGGGATGAGTTGCCCACTTCAGGATGGAACCCTGGCAGGACTGCAGGACAAATTGCCACTTCCATCTGCTCTTGGCATTGACACATGTTGAGCTTGAGGGCTTCAAAATCTTGCAGAAATGGAGCTGAAGCTTCACACAGGTCAAGCTAATGATGTACTACATGGCCTCCATCTTACATTGTCAGACAAGGTGGCTGTCTTTCAGGGGGTGGTGCACACAGCTAAGATTTATTCTATGAAAACTTGGGCCTGGGATATGATCTGTGCTATCAATGTCTCAGTAAATAAACAGGCCACAATTTATAATCGATGCAGAGATGCCATGGCTGTACTTGGCATGGGTGCAGATATCTTAGGACATTATCAAGAGCTTCATAAAGAAGACCTGGCTGTGCAGACAGTGGCCTTCTCCCAAAATGCACAGGAGCACTGTGGAACCCATCTTCCATGGTTTTGGTTGATTGATGTCCTGCAGGACACAGAATCAAAGAGTTGGATGTCTGAATGTATGTTGACCTTACTGTTCAACAATGCTTTAAGGTTGATGAACTTTCTTCAATTAGTCTATCACATTCATTGGCTGCAAGCAAAATCCATCAAAGATCATTGGGAAGAAGAGGAAGAGTTCATAATATCAGAATTTCAATGGGCTATAAGTTTCTTCAGATTTTGAGCAAAAGAATGGCATAAGATACAGATGGGAAGCAGTGCTATTGGAACTCCTGGGGTGCAGTGTTATGCAGTGAGGCAGAGGATGATGTATTCAATGTTGGCTGAGCATGCTGAACACAAATGGCAGGCCATGAATGCAACTGATATTCAGTTTGTCCTGGAGAAAGATTTGTAGCTCAATGTTAGCTTAATGTGAACCTGCAGTTTCCATCCCCTGCCCCAGCATTCTGCCCTGTAGCTGATGGGCAGGTCAGCAGGTACTTCACAGGAGACATTCAGTGGCAAGCTAGCCCATTCATTCACCTTTTGCATGTTCTATTTCCATTGTGGATATGTCTGGTATGACCTGAGTATGTATATCATTGTCTTGAAAGGCTCATGCATCTGCAGGCTGAGATGAATGGCAACAAACCATTGTTGGGAAACAGAATATTTATTGCTCACTGCAGAGGGTGAATTGGTCACTAGTGACTGGCTGAATGCCCTTGGTTGTATTTCCATCTGCTGAGAAATATTTATCCACTCATTTGCCAAGCTTCCACCTATCAAAATACATTGGCTCCTGCAATAGCAGAATGCAACATTTTCCCTGAATTGAACCTTGCAAATCTCACACTCTGCTTGTTTGCACATGTCCCACCTGTGGGCATACCTTGAATCCTTTTGAAGGATGCTGTAGGTATCCTCAGTAGTGCAACAAGCTACTGAGGGAACAGTGAATAAACTACTGTAAAATGTGCACTCTAAAGTGATAATGCAAGCACCCAGACATCACACCAAAGTGAGCAGAACACAGGGGAGAATATATCTCCAACACACCCCCATAAGCTCCACTGTGTGAAAAAGTAGAATAGCAGAAAACAGAACTCAAACGAATGTGTACCAAATACTCCAATAAAACGAGTGTAATTCGTGTATTGAGCTTCGAGTCTGCAGTGTGAGGTGCACGTCATGGCTGTGCTTGCGCATCGTCCCGTTTTGGTAATACGCCACTCGTGCGCGCGTCATGACTTTGCCACATTGCTGTGCAAGCATTGTATGACGTTCGTGAGGGCCGTCGATGGCGTGCATCGATATAGGGCGCACCCCCTGCCATAGGTAGGTGCTAGCAACGTCCAGAGGAATCTTGAGAGGTCGCGAGGGCCTCCATAAGGTAACTTGAGTGGTTTCGAAGGTAATACCAGTTGTATGGTGTGTGTGTCCATTTGTGCGAGCTTTGCTGACACTTCGTAGATCTACTTTGATCCTGCTGCATCGACGTTGAGCCCTGTATGGTATACGGATATGCACGATTAGGTCCGGAGGGGGTTCAGGTGGTGCAGGTAAGTGGTTTGGCCGTTCTACCTCTCGTTTTCGAACGTTCTGACTTCGGATGTCAGCCAGCAGCTTCTTTGTTGCTCTGTTCGAGCAGACAGCATTGCTGCTTGTTGTGCTGTCCTTCCTGCTACTGTAGCGCTCGTTGTCGGCTTCCTGTGGCCAAAAAACTACATTTGGTGAGCCATCTCATATCTCGGCCGTTCGAACACTGATCGCTCTTATCTTCAGCTTCGTCGACACTCTCCCACCATCTCAACTATCCTCCCAGTGGGAGGTACCCCCGCTGTGCTCGCCTAGACCCCCAGTCTCATCAATTGAGACATTCCATGTGCACTGACCTTTGCAGGTCTCTTGTCACACTGCAGGCGCACAATCTTGTTCAGGGTGGGGTTGCTCAGCCTCTTGCAGATCTTTGAGGCATTTTGGCTCGTTAGTGAGTGCTGCCTGATCTGAAAGGGTTGTTTGGGCTTCGTGAGGATGTGGTATGGTAATTTCTCCATTGCTGACTGTTCGTGCTTGTGCTAACTTCCTTTCTGTGTTCAAAGTACCAAAGACTTGGTCAGATTGTCCAATGAATGGGTTTGGAGCTGTGATGTGAATGCATGGAGGGTAAGGTACATCGGCAATCAGACTGCTGTCACACACCAAAGGTGTTTGGTGAGGTGGACATGGATGTAGCTGATGAATGGAGGTGAAGACCATACCCCTCATGTGAAGAAGGACAGCCAGCAATGTTGGCAGTCATCCCTCGCACAAGAACAAGTTGTCAATAGCAAAGAAAAAGGAGGAGGCAGGTTAAGTGCCAATAAAATTCTTAAGTGCCCATGTATGGCATTCTGGTTTTCAATGTATCTCCACCAGTTCTGCAGACACTGAAACCATTCCCACACTCGCTTGTAGTGCTCAGCCATGTGATCCTACCTTCCAGGATTGGAAAGGATTTGCACACTCCACACATTTCTACAGCACTCCCTCCAAAAGATGCTCATTTTGCTAATTCTTCTGATATGGCTGCCTCCACATCAGTCATTTCACTTGTCCCCTTTGCTAGGGACCATGGCTACATATATCTACCAGGAGTTCCTACCAGCTTCCGTCCTGAAGCGTCCTGGTACATCCCACCCTCATCTGCCCCCTCTCAGCCCATCCAGCTTGGACAGTGTATTCTTTTTGTCAGTATGACCTCCAGGAGGACGTTCTTTGGTCGCCTCAGGTCTGTCATTTGCTTGGAAAGGTCTTATGTGGTCATTTCAGTCTCTCCAGTCCAAGAAGCATATGGATCCTTCCTCCCTGCCCCTGCAATGTCTTCATACCAGTCTCATCCGTCATTCTTCCAAAATTGCGACAGCTACAGTATAATCTACTGTTCTCCACTCTCCCTGATCGCATCCATGACAAGTATGATGCACATCTTGCCTCCTTGTTGCAAGATACAGCAGAAGACACTCCCCCTTCATCCTCTCTTCCAACAGAGCCTTGTTCATGAAGTTTTTATTTGCTTCACTGAGAGGATGGTTTGGGGGGGAAAGTTGCAATCCCTTATGCTCCTGTCACCCCACAGACCCCCAAAGCTTGACCCCTGTTGACATCTGACTCACCCTGTCTGCTTTTGGATGTACTATATTGGCATCAGATCAGCGCTGCCTCTCTGTCATCCCACTTTGGCCTAGAGGTGATCTCTTTGAGATGTGACATGCACAGCCTCCCCCTAATGTGATTCCAGTGCACTTTCCCAGTACCTGACATTGCTTGACTCATACTGTGACATTCTGACTGTCTTTGACTTACCTATTGCCAATACTTACCAATCTTTTGACTTTGCTTACTGATTCTTCGCTTTTTGGCTTACTTATCCTTACCAATGCTTACCAATGCTTTCCAAGACAATTACCCATCACTTACATTCCTTACTCATCAGTTACCAATCACTTACCAAGTGTTTGCACCTTGTTTTCCATAGGCAATGCCCCTGTACTGTACATAAGTCACTGTACTTAGGTAGCAAAAAAAAAAAGAAGACATCAGAGAGCCCCTCTTGCTTGCAATTTATCATCTCTCAGTAAATCATTCATCAGCTTTGATAGTTGAGACTTTATTAAGGGTCTAGCTATCATCTACTTCGCTTATCATCATCTATCATCCATATACTTCGCTCCAAGCCCTCCCTGAGCTCAGTACAGCTTAGGACATCAAATTAAGTCACCATCCATCCTTCTGTAGGCTGACAGCAGTCTACCCTATCGCTTTCTATCACATTCTTGCTCCCTCTTCATCAGGAGCACCCCCAACCCTCAGCACTCATCTTTGAGTGTTGTAGCTCGCAAAAACCCTCCCAAAGAACAGGTTCTACCTCTAGGTACCGCATAGGCACACCACCACTTGCTTTCATTGTCTTTTGTGTTGGTTTTGGTTGGTTTTTACCACTGAACCTCACTTTGACTCACACCGCTGCACGTTTGGATGTGCTAATCATGATTGACAGGTGTCTGCGAAGTAGTTTTGATGGCATGAGTGTTCTTGAGATTAGTAGAATTGATTGTGAGATCGAAAGTCTTGCTGCCAGGTTTGAGTAGATGTAAATCCCTTGTCATGTTGGCAACGACGAGTTGACTGTGTGTGCCTGTAGCGCTGGTCTCATCTGTATGGCCACTTGATGTCTTAGGGTTTGCATCTCCAAGTTCATCCATTGAGCTGCTGCCTGCTTCGCATGGCACTCCCTCCAGCTCCAGCTCCGAGTGCTGATTTAGGGCATGTTCGACCTCTGCTGTAGGTATGTCAATGCTTGACACTTTGACTTGTCTGCACTGACTAGGCATGACTTCTACAGTCTCTAGTGACAGCTCTGCACTGTCCTTTTTGTTGTCATGAGTAGCCAACTGGCTGAGAAGGCTGCCACTGGTTTGCTGAGAGGTTGCTTCAGCCTCGTGTAGTACAGGTGAGTGGCAATTTTGCAAGTCATCACTTTGCACGTCCTCCTCAGTCATTTTCCAGCTTTCTGGTCTCGTAACTGAGCCATAGCACTTCTCGAGGTAGGTGAACTTCTCGAGGGGTGTTTTTAGATGGAGTATGAATGAGAATATGTAGTCCGAAATTCCGAAGATCAATAGAAGATTGACCTTTGAGCTCTGCTTGTGCCAGAACTCATCTGAGGTTTGCCATGCTGTGACCTTGTCTCGTTCCTCATTGGTCTGAGGTGTCCAGCCCTCACCTCGACCTTTCAGCTGTGCTGGATGTATAGGTCGTGTTTCAGACCCGAGTAGGAACCCCATCAAGCCTTCATCTGCAATGGCATTTAGGACCCAGCTGCCATAAGCTGTCCAGTTATGTCCATCATCTGCAAGCTCTGGTAGGTCGTCCATGCTTTATCCAATAGCCTTGAGGGTATAGAGTGTTCTGGAAACTTTGTAGCAGAGTCAAGTAGTTGTTTTTGGACTTTGCACACTGAGTGGGCCTACAATAAAATGTTCTGTGCTAGGCAGGGCTCATAACCTTTTGAAGGATGCTGTGGGTATCCTCAGTAGTGCAACAAGCTACTGATGTATTAGACCAACCTGTAGGTATCTACAGGATATCAGTAAGTATAATACTGGTAGTGAAAGTGAGCTTACCCTCAGTAGTGCAACAAGCTACTGAGGGAACAGTGAATAAACTACTGTAAAATGTGCGCTCTAAGGTGATTATGTAAGCACCCAAACATCGCACCAAAGTGAGCAGAACACAGGGGAGAATATATCTCCAACAAATCCTACATTAGCACAATGAGCATATTGCTTTGCATTTGCATCTGATGACCAATTGCTCTCAGCCTTGCATCTTGCACAGTCTGCTCATTTTATCAGGATCCATCAAATGCCATGTTAGCAGGTCAAGACAGTCCATATCAACCTTGCATATTGTGCAGGCCACTCATTTGGAAGGGTTCCATCTATCAGGATCCACAGAATGCTGTTTTTGCAGGCTGACATCTTTCTTTGCATTGTTATCCTATTATTAGCTGTTATCTTGTTTTGTAACTCCCAAGTGAACACTGTGAATAGCATAGCCTGCTCATTCACCAGGTGTCTGTCTATTGGGATTCATCAGTGGCCATATTAGCAAACTGAGATGTGTTGGCCAAATCAGACTATTAATTGCATTTGCATCAGATGGCAGGTTGCTATCACATATCACATATTGCACAGTCCATTCATTTGCAAAGGTTCTGTCTATCAGGTTCCATCAGCTCTGGTTTTAGCAGAATGAGACCATCCTGCTATCTCATTTTTTAAGTTTCAAGTTAACTATTCTATGTCACAAAGCCATGCATTCACTAAGCTTCCACCTATCAGGATACATCAGCAGTTGTTTTAGTAGAATGAGATTATCCTTCACAATTCTGTTGGCTGTCTAGCCATTATTGTCATTTTCTCACTCTTAAATAAAGGCTGAATATATGATGTGGCAGGAGTGGTCAATTAAAATGGAAATACAAAATGACATTGTATGTACTGCAGAGGAGTAAAATGATAGACAGCCTCATTCACCCTGCTGTCCTATCCACCCTTGTCTCATCTGCCAGAGGCCCTAAGAGATCAATGAGATCATCACCCAATGCTCATCCATATACCCAAATACACAGAGCCTCCAGCTCCTGAGCCATCCTGTCCAGCATCTGCATGGTTTCATCCTGTTGTATTTGGAAGTCATACATTCAATCCTCATAGTATTGGTGGTGGGCCTCAGCATTATGGAGTCAATGTTCCAAATCTTCAATTTGCTCTTCAATTGTGTTGGATGTTTGTGACACCTTGGTGATTGGGGCACAGACAGGTGACAATGTGCTGGGAGTTGCAGCAGTTGTGAGTTGGACAGGTGCTGCTGCTGTTGATGGGCAGGTGTCTGCTTTGAATACAAGGGTTAACCATGATAATTAGCATAAATATAGAGTGATTAAATGTACCTGCTGCCATAGATTCCTCTACCTCCTGCACAATGGATGGGCCAGCCTCAACAATCAACTCCACTTGTACAGCAGCTGGGATTGGGCAGGAATCCCTGCATTTGAATGCAGGAATGTGAATCTCTGAATAAAATTTGAGTCAGTGTAAATACATGAAATTGTGAACATACTGAGTGAAGATCCCTCAGGGATTGTCTCTCCCTGGTTGGAGGGCCCAACCCCAGCATTGATGGCTTTGGAAGCCATCGAAATGTGTCACTTTGGGGGACATTCCTTTGGGCTTTGGGATTCTTGGGCCTCCATCATCAGGGACAGACTTCAAGCTCCCTTTTCTCCCCTGGCTTGCAATGGATTCTGTCAAGTTGGAGCAGCAATCCCACCTTTGGCATGGCTACATTGAATCTTGCAACCATTGCATGGGAAGCAGGACTTCCCAGGGTTCTTGTAGCATTGGACCTTGCATCTGCAGCACAACTTGTGCTGTCATCATCAGTTTCCACTGTTGCCTTCCTAGAGCAGGATCAATGTCTGGATCAATGGGACATCATTTTTGTGGCAGCTTTGCACTTCTGCCTGCCTTGCACTGGTTCTTCCTTGTTGTCCTCCTTCTCTGGCACCTCATCTTCACCCTCATTGTCCACCTCCATCCTGTGCAAGCTCTCCACTATCATGTGCTCCACCTCTGCCTCAGTTGCTTTCCATTTTCCTTTGTCCCTCATAGGCATTTCAGTCTCTTGAGCAGGTGGTGTTGGTGTTGGCACCACACAGGGCACAGGGAGACCCAACTGGTGGTAGTCATATTGATGCTCAATGATGTCAAGCCACTTGTGGTTGGTGACATCAGTTTTGGAAGGGGATAGGGCAGTCTTCCACTCAGGCCACAGGTGCTCAATTGAGCCAAGGTCTTCATGCCACTTTAAGAATGTGTCAATGCCAATGAGGGTCATCAGAATCTCACCCATCCTAGCAATGAGGTTGTGTACAGCATCCTGAATGCATCAGTTAGTGAAAAAATGTGATGATGCTATGATGCACTAGTTCATTGTTTATTGCCTTGATGGCACCTCTCCACTTTGCAATCTTGTCTGCCTTTCCCAACTTGCTGCTTTCCACAATATCCTTGAAGTAAATTTGAAGGATGCAGTTGGCCACAGCATCAAGCTCAGGTGATGTCTTGAAGAGCTTTTGAGACAATGACAATGACATGTTTCTGATGACAAGATGATGGAGTAGTTTGATGGTGAGAGTGGTGATGGTGATTGGAGAGTGGAAGAATCAGAGGTTAAAGATGGACAATGAGATATGTGGATGTCACATTTTTTATCCTGCCTATGAATGATTCCAACAGCATGATGGCAATACCAATACAAATCAATAATCCTGAATGCATATATAAAGCAGAGGCTCAGATAAAAATATGATGTGTTGTTCTGGAATAGCATTGCTGTTTGTTTTGCTGTTTCCCATCTGCTCCAATGGCAGAGTCCTGGCTTGCAGCTACATAGACCAGCACCTGAGATTCCAACTGAATAGGCAAATCATCCAACATGAAACACAATTTATAGTGGGAAATTCAGATACTCTATAGAGTGAGAGGTTCCACTTTCTTCATTTCTTGTCTTCCTGGGCCTGTCTTATATTGTGACAGGGGGATAACCCAATTATGGATAGGCCTGTCTTATGCTGTGCCAAGGATTTGTAATCCTGCAATGGATGGATTGGCCCATCTTATGTTGTAACACTGGCTTTTGTTTTCTCTTATCTGCTGCCTGAGAATACCATGGATGGGCCTGACCTTATGTAAATCCCTTTGATCTCCCTTTCTGCTGCCTGAGAATGCCTTACATGGACCATCCTTATGTAGATAGCTTGGATCTCCCTTTCTGCTGCCTAAGAATACCATACATGGACTTGTCCTTATGTTGCAACAGGGGTGCATCTTGCTAGATGGGCCCATCCATTTGTTGTGATGGCATACATGATACTACTGAAGGGCCTGTCCTTATGTTGTGATGCTATTAAATGATATTAATGACAGGCCCATCCATATGTTGTGACAATATAAACAATACTACTGAAGGGCCTGTCCTTATGTTGTGACACTATTAAACAACATTACTGACAGGCCCATCTTTATGTTTTGACAGGGCACATCTTACTGGGGCCAGGCCCACCCATATGCTGTGACAATATAAATAATACTACTGAAAGGCCTGTCCATATGTTGTGATGCTATACATGAGATTACTGACAGGCCTGTCTTTATGTTTCAACAGGGCACATCTTACTGGGGCCAGGCCTGCCCATATGTTGTGACAATATAAATAATACTACTGAAGGGCCCATCCATATGTTGTGATGCTATACATGAGATTACTGATGGGCCCATCTTTATGTCTCATCAGAGGTACATCTTACTGTGGACAGGCCTGTCCATATGTTGCATAATACTACTGATGGGCCCAACCTTATGTTGTGACTCTATTAAATGATACTAGTGATGGTCCTGTCTTTATGTTTCAACAGCAGTACATCTTACTGTCAACAGGCCTGTCTATATGTTGTGACAGGGGTGTAACCTACCAGGACAGGCCCATCCATGTCTTACAGCAACTCAGTATACTTAATTGGTCATGGGCCTGTCTAAATGTTTCAACATCCTTACCCACCACAGGCCCTCCCATATGCTGCAGTAATGCACTTACAGGCCTGTACATATGTTGCTCTCACTTTAGTCCCTTGGGCCTGTCCATGTGTACTGGCTAATCTATTTACATCAGGAAAATAACACTTTACTATTTTTGACTTTTTGTGACTAATGTGACTTTTTGGGAAGGAATCTACTATCATTACCCATGTCCTGCAGGCATGGCTGCACTGTTCTTGCTTATTTTGGTCTTGTTCAAACCACCTAATTCATAGCTTTCAGTAGATAACACATACATTCAAATTGATGGAGGTTCCAAAGAGATATTGTGATTTTTCTCTCAGACAGTATGCATCATGCCAATGGCTCAATATCTCTGAATTTTCAGACATTTTCTAGTCTTCTTGGCTTAGATATATCATCACTTAGTTGTCTCAATAGATTCTGTTCTCTTTTCATTCTTCAAAATGCTGTATATGGTCAAAAAAAAAGTACAGATAGTAGGTTCCTTCCCAAATAGTCACAAATAGTCACAAAAAAGTCAAAAAAGTCACAAAAAGGTCAAAAATAGTAAAGTGTTAGGTGCCATTCAACCTGTGAATGTGAAGTCCAAGTTTTTGACTTCAGCTTTGGTTAAGAGGTTCACATGCATCCACCTGAGGTATGCAATCATTGTCACCCAGTTACTGTGATCATTGAATGTCTGGCTCATCTGTGGGATCAACCTGCTTGTTGTGCTCACATGGCCTTACAATCAATCCTCTAGACCTGCAGAACCCCCTGCCTCCCCCCAGGACTTGCAAGAAAGCTGCAGTATGGACAACAGAGGAGGAAGGCGCATTACTGGGTTTCTTGGCCTCTCATCTTTCACAAGCCAGTGATG